GGTAAAATGTGTCAAAAGCGCACCGGAACGCACATATCCCTATTTAAATAAGAAAAAGAGGGGAAAAAAATTAACCGCAATGCATCAAAAACGCACCGCAACACCAGAAACGCATCTGGACTGTTTCTATGGTAAGAAGTGACCCTCTGCTTTCACCTGCCGGCCTGTAACACCCCATCTCTATTACAGCACCCGCACTTTGGATGAAGGAACACCTTTGGACAGAAACACGGTCAGTCTGGGGGGGGGGGAGTGTTAGTGTATCTAAATCTGCTAGTCCGTCTAACAACATTCCTGTAACTGCTTCTAAAGTATTAGCTGGAATCCATCTTCACACCGTTTTTTCTCCTTTTTGGATAAAGGTTTTACATAAATAAAAGCCGATCATTGTAAGTGGCAAATGGTTTGTCTAATCCCTCTAACGGCAAGAGCTTTTTTTGTTGAAAAACAGACTTACTGGCTGGATCACAAGGTGAAAATAGAAGAAAGAAAACGAATGCAGCCATCACATCTAAGAATTGGTTTAGTGGTTCTGAAGTCAAACACCCCCCCGACTTCTCTCTCGATTCAGCGCCGTCCCATCTGCAGCAGCGCTGCTCTCTCCCTGGTCTCACAGGAGACACCGAGAGCAAGGACAGCCATTGGCTCCTGCTGCTGTCAGTCAGATCCTGTGAGGAAGGAGCAGGAAGCATGGCCAAGCTATGCTGTGTGTGTCTCTATGGACACACACTAGGGATGCACTGATACCAGTTATTTTTTTTTAGATCACCAATACTTTGCAGTGCGATTTGCATTAATGGACGCAAATTGCAACGCAAAAGATTAGCATGCGATTACAAAAGGAATGCGATTCTTGTCCAAATCAAATGCAGTTTCCACACTGCTCCTGTGTGAACCCAGGCTGGTCATAGCTCGGGGCTACGACCACTCAGATGCCGTCTTGCCCGACCTGTCATCCCTGCTACGACCACTCAGATGCCGTCTTGCCCGACCGGTCATCCCTGCTACGACCACTCAGATGCCGTCTTGCCCGACCGGTCATCCCTGCTACGACCACTCAGATGCCGTCTTGCCCGACCGGTCATCCCTGCTACGACCACTCAGATGCCGTCTTGCCCGACCGGTCATCCCTGCTACAACCACTCAGATGCCGTCTTGCCCGACCTGTCATCCCTGCTACGACCACCCAGATGTCGTCTTGCCCGACCTGTCATCCCTGCTACGACCACCCAGATGTCGTCTTGCCCGACCGGTCATCCCTGCTACGACCACTCAGATGTCGTCTTGCCCGACCGGTCATCCCTGCTACGACCACTCAGATGTAGTCTTGCCCGACCTGTCATCCCTGCAAGGAGAGGAAAGAAAGCGGTGGGGATTTTAAATCTCCGCTGCTTTCTCTCCTCTCCTACCACTGACACTCAGCATGGGATGCCTGCAGGGAGGTTTCCAGCACCGCTCCTGTGTGAACTCGAGCTATGACAAGCCTGGGATCACACAGGAGCAGTGGGGAAACCGCATGCAATTTGGATAGGAATCACATTCGTGTTCAAATCGCATGTGCATTTTGTGTCAATTGACGCAAATCGCACTGCAAAGTATTGGTTAAGGCAGGGGTGGGCAACTGTGGCCCTCCAGCTATTGTGGAACTACAAGTCCCATGAGGCATTGCAAAAATGACATTTAAAAGCATGACTCCCAAAGGCAGAGGCATGATGGGACTTGTAGTTCACCAACAGCTGGAGGGCCACAGTGGCCCACCCCTGGGTTAAGGTATTGGTAGTACTTTCTTGAGTGCTCATGAAAAAAGACAACGGTATCTGTAGATCCCTAACACACAGCCCAGCTCGGGAGGATGCCCACATGGGTGCCCCCATACTCCTGGCTTGCTATGGGAGCACCTGCAGGAAGGAGCAGACAGCGCTGACGGGGGAACGCCAACGAAGCGGCTCTGTGCAATACCACTGCAGCTCAACCACAGAGTTTTACCTTCCCCCCTCGACCATTAGTGTGAACGAGCGCCTTGCTTGTGAATGCCAGTGTGAATTATAACCGGGTCACGTTTGAGGAGCGTAGCACCTGCCAAGCACAACCTATATTTCTTATTGCGACCCCCCCCCCCCCCCCCGACTGTGAATGATGCACAGCGTACTAGTGTGGGATCAAGGGGATCGCTCTTCAGAGAGCAAAGCCAGTGTGAACGTGCCAAGATCTAGGGTACCTGGCATGTACAGGAACAGAAAAAAACTTCTCTAACTGCCATAGAGATGTATACGGAGGGAGCCGCTGCTGCGCAGATACACAAACGCTGTTCAGACACCGCGGAGCGGAGTTTACATACAGGAACTCACTACTCTGGAGGTGCAGGAAGAGAACAATTCCCACCAACATTCTTCTTGAATGGATGTTTATAACACCCTCTGGTCACATGCCAGACCATTCCTCACACCCATCCAGCGTCACATCCAGTACCGGCAAGAATAATACATTGGTTTTGCCTGCCCTCCGGGGCGACTGGAGACGAAAAGGACAATTACATTTCGTATTCAACGTTATGTTGTCTTAGCATTTCGTTCTAATGAGAAAAGCATTTAAAAAAAACAAACCAAAAAAAAAAACCCCAAAAAACACACCCAGTGTCGCTGGTGCCCAGGGGGGGGGAAAGGCGCCCCGTCCACTAGCGCCCAGGGGGGGGGGGAAAGGCGCCCCGTCCACTAGCGCCCAGGGGGGGGGGGGAAAGGCGCCCCGTCCACTAGCGCCCAGGGGGGGGGGGAAAGGCGCCCCGTCCACTAGCGCCCAGGGGGGGGGGGAAAGGCGCCCCGTCCACTAGCGCCCAGGGGGGGGAAAGGCGCCCCTCCACTAGCGCCCAGGGGGAGGAATGGCGCCCCTCCACTAGCGCCCAGGGGGAGGAATGGCGCCCCTCCACTAGCGCCCAGGGGGAGGAATGGCGCCCCTCCACTAGCGCCCAGGGGGAGGAATGGCGCCCCTCCACTAGCGCCCAGGGGGAGGAATGGCGCCCCTCCACTAGCGCCCAGGGGGAGGAATGGCGCCCCTCCACTAGCGCCCAGGGGGAGGAATGGCGCCCCTCCACTAGCGCCCAGGGGGAGGAATGGCGCCCCTCCACTAGCGCCCAGGGGGAGGAATGGCGCCCCTCCACTAGCGCCCAGGGGGAGGAATGGCGCCCCTCCACTAGCGCCCAGGGGGAGGAATGGCGCCCCTCCACTAGCGCCCAGGGGGGAGGAATGGCGCCCCTCCACTAGCGCCCAGGGGGAGGAATGGCGCCCCTCCACTAGCGCCCAGGGGGAGGAATGGCGCCCCTCCACTAGCGCCCAGGGGGAGGAATGGCGCCCCTCCACTAGCGCCCAGGGGGAGGAATGGCGCCCCTCCACTAGCGCCCAGGGGGAGGAATGGCGCCCCTCCACTAGCGCCCAGGGGGAGGAATGGCGCCCCTCCACTAGCGCCCAGGGGGAGGAATGGCGCCCCTCCACTAGCGCCCAGGGGGAGGAATGGCGCCCCTCCACTAGCGCCCTGGGGGAGGAATGGCGCCCCTACACTAGCGCCCAGGGGGAGGAATGGCGCCCCTCCACTAGCGCCCAAAGGCCTGGATAACTGCTAGAAAAGGGCCATTGCGGTATAATAAAAACAAAGCACATTGCTGAACACAACCCGATTTTGCAGACGCATGTTTGCCCAAGAGGAGGGTCTTGGACCCCACGCACGCTGGGCGTCTGGTTGCTGTGCATGTAATCCTGTTTTAGCTTGGATTCTTAATTCCCCAATTTAGTTTTTTTTTTTTTTTTTTTTTATAAATGGGGGAGGGGGGGGGGGGGGGGGGGGGGGGGGGGGGGAAGAAATCAGCCATTTTAACTCCCAGCTTTGCGTCAGTCTGGTTGCTATCAGTCAGTGCTCTTTGTGACTGTTGCCAATTTATTTAATAAACTGGGCCAAGCACCTCCCCGATGCGGTGTCAGTGCCCCGGCTGGGTGTCCTGCAGAGACTCGGCCACGCGTGTGAAGTGATCGCACCGCTCGGTCTGACATTCAGGACCAGACTGCAACCTCACTGGAACAACCGCCTTCCATTCTACACGCCGAACACTCAAACCCTCTTCCTGTGCAATAAGAAACAAATCTCTTCCAAAACGGAAAGCCCAACTTCCTAAAAAGGTTCCTCATACAGATGATGGCGTCCGGCCAGAGAGTGAGTCAGCGGCTTGAGTTGGCGGACAGGTCAGAGACGCGGCTCCACAGACGCAGGTACGAGGGAACGATCACAACGCTCTCCTGACGATACGACCGATTGGTTCATCTGTGTAATACAAGAAAGAGGAGAGGAAGAGACGACGGCCTGAACCCGTACTGCCATCTAGCCACAGATCCCGGCTCCAGCAACGGCGGAGGAAAGGAGGAAAGATCTACACGGCAGAAGAGATCCTCCAACAGTCCCACCCCGTGACCAATCCACACTCATCGTTCACTAGGAACCGAGCTAAATGGGGGAGACGACAAAACACACATTATTGATATTATTGGTACTTATTAGGGTTCATGTACACTGCGGCTGATAAACCGACGTTCAGGAGCTTTACTGCGCTTTTTTTCAGCAGCCCCTGAACTCCCCCTAATGTCCTCCTATGTGCCCTCTATACATCGTCCTGTACAGGCAGTTGGGTTGACAGTCGTTTTCTTGAACGCACCAAACTTGCGCTCAGGAGTAGATTTTATCAGCGTTTCAAACGCTTGTGAAGGCAGCATACCGCATTTATAAGAGTTTGTGTTTAGGTTTTTTTTTTTATTTTTTTATTTTTTTTTTTAACTGTTCCATATCCAGATGCTGTCCGGAGCCTTTTTTCATCATCAGAAATGCATGCAAAGTGTTTTCCATGTATTCAAATGGACCGGAACACCAGCGCAGTCAGTTCCAGGTTTTGCGTGAAGGAAAAATTGGTAGAATGTGCCGCATTATGATGGGATCCATAGTGACTACAACCAGAAAAGACCGGTCATCCCTGCAACTCCCTCCTCATTGGATGACCTTTACATAGACCACACCCCCTCCAGTCTATCATGAATACGGCTGCCAGACTCATCCACCTTACCAACCGTTCAGTGTCCTCCACCCCTCTCTGCCAATCCCTCCACTGGCCTCCATTCAGTGTCCTCCATCCCTCTCTGCCAATCCCTCCACTGGCCTCCATTCAGTGTCCTCCACCCCTCTCTGCCAATCCCTCCACTGGCCTCCATGCATTGTCCTCCACCCCTCTCTGCCAATCCCTCCATTGGCCTCCATTCAGTGTCCTCCACCCCTCTCTGCCAATCCCTCCATTGGCCTCCATGCATTGTCCTCCACCCCTCTCTGCCAATCCCTCCATTCAGTGTCCTCCACCCCTCACTGCCAATCCCTCCACTGGCCTCCAATCAGTGTCCTCCACCCCTGCCAATCCCTGCACTCAGTGTCCTCCACCCCTGCCAATCCCTGCACTCAGTGTCCTCCACCCCTGCCAATCCCTGCACTCAGTGTCCTCCACCCCTCTCTGCCAATCCCTCCACCCCTCTCTGCCAATCCCTCCACTGACCTCCACCCCTCTCTGCCAATCCCTCCACCCCTCTCTGCCAATCCCTCCACTGGCTTCCATCCCTCTCTACCAATCCCTCCACTCAGTGTCCTCTATCCCTCTTTGCCAATCCCTCCACTGGCCTCCATTCATTGTCCTCCACCCCTCTGCCAATCCCTCCACAACCAGAAAAGACCAGTCATCGCTGCAACTCCCTCCTCATTGGATGACCTTTACATAGGCCACACCCCCTCCAGTCTATCATGAATGCTGCTGCCAGGCTCATCCACCTTACCAACTGTTCAGTGTCCTCCACCCCTCTCTGCCAATCCCTCCACTGGCTTCCATCCCTCTCTACCAATCCCTCCATTCATTGTCCTCCACCCCTCTCTGCCAATCCCTCCACTGGCCTCTACTCAGTGTCCTCCATCCCTCTCTGCCAATCCCTCCACTGGCCTCCATTCATTGTCCTCCACCCCTCTCTGCCAATCCCTCCACTGGCCTCCATTCAGTGTCCTCCACCGCTCTCTGCCAATCCCTCCACTGGCCTCCATTCAGTGTCCTCCACCGCTCTCTGCCAATCCCTCCACTGGCCTCCATTCATTGTCCTCCACCCCTCTCTGCCAATCCCTCCACTGGCCTCCATTCAGTGTCCTCCACCGCTCTCTGCCAATCCCTCCACTGGCCTCCACTCAGTGTCCTCCACCCCCCTCTGCCAATCCCTCCACTGGCTTTTAATCGCCCAAGGAATAAAATTCAAAATACTAACAACTTAGAAAGCCATCCATAACTCTGCCCCCACCCACACACCATTGTTCATGTATCACCTGTATACATCAGCCCCATTCTGTCTCTGATCTGTATATTAACACCTAGTTTCTCTTTTTCCTGCAAATCTGTACATTAACTCCTTCATTTCCTTACCCCCCCCCCCCCCGTGAATTAACCCCTTCACTTCCCCCTTCACTCTCTGTATATGACCTGTACATTTATTGTATCCAGTGCACAAAGCTCCACATTTTAACCCCCTCAACTCCATCATGTTTCTTCATTTCCATTTCAGTAGAAAAAAAATGAGATCACCTCGGGGTGTCTACTTTCCAAAAAGGGGGATCATTTCTTGGGGTGTGCATCCCCGGTATTTTTCTTTGCCATGTTTTAAAACAAAGGGGAAGTTTTTTTTTTTAATAAAATAGGTATTCATTTTTCCCCTTTACACAGTAAACAATAAAACCCCAGTAGTTATGTATCACCATCAAAAGAAAGCTCTTCAGAAAATGATAGAACACTTTTTTCTGTGCATCGTTTGACCGGACTGTCAGGCATTGTACCCCAGCGCTGAAAACGGTAATGAAAGGGGTGAAGAATGCCGATACTAAAGTGGATAATGATGTATATTTAACCACTTGCCGCCCTGCCACTGTAGAAATACGGCGGCAGAGCGGCACTGGCAAGCAAAACCACATTTTAAAACGCGTGTTTTTGTAAACAGATAGGGGGCGCGCGCGAGGCGCGCCGCCGCCCTATCTGTCCCGCCGATCACCGCCGCGGATGTCAGTCACCGGGTCACAGCCGGTCTTCACCGGCTGTTTCCCGGCAATCGGCGGCAAACAGTGACAGACAGCACAGCTGCAGTAGCTGTCACTTCCCTGACAGCTCAAAGACGAGCTGATCGAGAAAGAAGAGTTTCTCTTTCTCGATCAGCCTTGTCCTGTCCAGTACACACCCCCCCCCCCTAGTAAAACACTCCCCCTCACTCAGATAACCCTTCCCTGCAAAATAAAGTTAACCCCTTCCTCCCCAGTGCCATTAGTACAGTGTCAGTGTTTTTTTTTTGCACTGATCACTGTATTAGTGTTTTTGGGGATGTCAGTGACCCCAAGTCAGTACCCCCCAATGTCAGAATGTCCGCCGCAGTCCCGCCACAATTCGCTGATCGCCGCCATTATTAGTATATTAAAAAAAAAAAAATCCCAGTATCTTTCCCGTCATTTGTAAACGCTATAACTTTCACGTAAACCAATTAATTTACACGTATTGGGTTTTTTTTTTTTTTTTAGCAAAGACATGTCGCAGAATGCATTTTGGCAGAAATTTATGACAATTTGATTTTTGCATTTTTTTTTACTGGACATGTTTTATAGCAAAAAGTCCAAAATATTTATTTTTTTTTGCTCAAAATTGTCAGCCTTTTTTTTATAGCGCAAAAAATAAAAACCGCACAGGCGATCAAATACCACCGAAAGAAAGCTCAATTTGTGGAGAAAAAAAAAGGATGTAAATTTCATTTATGTACCGTATTGCATGACCGCGCAATTGTCCATTAAACTAGTGCAGCGCTGTATAGCAGAAAAATGGCGTAAATTGCAGTATCTATCCCATAGTTTGTAGACGCTATAACTTCACACAAAGCAATCAATATACACTTATTGGGATTTTTTTTTTTACCAAAAACATGGAGCAGAATACATTTTGGCCTAAATTATAACCAACTTTGAGTTCACTATATATTTTTTATAGCTGAAAGTAAAAAATATTGTTTTTCTTCCAAAATTTTTGGCTTTTGTTTATAGCGTGAAAAATAAAAAAGCGCACAGGTGATCAAATACCACCGAAAGAAAGCTCTATTTGTGTGAAAAAAAGGATGTAAATTTTGTTTGGGTGCAGCGTTGCATGACCCGCGCAATTATCAGTTGAATTAGTGCAGCGCCGAGTAGCAAAAAGAGGCGTGGTCATTAAGGGGGTAAATCCTCAGGAGGGCGAGGGGTTAAAGTGTAGCCAAAAAAAAAAAAAAAAAAAAAAAAAAAAAAAACACTACTACACATTGTATATTATAGAATTCATAATTTTTTTTTTTTTTTTTTATTTGCAGACGAGACCTTCGATAACTCCTTGGCACCGACTGTGTGCAAATATGCGGCCTCTCGGTGGCTCCGACAGACCGCATATGTGTGTACTCAATGTAAACAAACGTGCTGAAAGCGCACGCCCTGGTGGCGCCTCACGGAAAGCTCCAGATTGCCATTTGCGATCAGGAGCTTTCTTTCCGATCACATAACCCCTAACCTTAAGGCAGGGGTGGGCAACTGTGGCCCTCCAGCTGTTGTAGAACTACAAGTCCCATGAGGCATTGCAAACCTGACAGTTACGAGCATGGCTCCCCCAAAAGGCATGATGGGACTTGTAGTTCACCAACAGCTGGAGGGCCACAATTGCCCACCCCTGCCTTAAGGGGTTCAATGAATCCGCCTGGTCACACAGTCTTATACAGGGGCGGACTGACCATTTGGAAACTCGGGCACTGCCCGAGGGCCCGGGGTTAGTAGGGGGCCCCATGAGATGCCCCTGGTACCTTTTTCATAGGCTTTTTTTTGAGTTTGGGCAAGGACACAGGGGCCCCATGATCCCCTATTGCCCTGGGGGGCCCCATGAGTTGTCAGTCCGCCCCTGGTCTTATAGAACGTACGCTGAGCATTGCATGCGCAGCTCTGGATACCCACATTATCAGCATGCTGCCTTTGCGCCATGATGAATGAACTTCCGCACATACAGGGCAGATACGTCAACCCATGATGGCCAATGGCTGGCCAAAGACCCGGAACAAGTCAAAAAGCTGTAGGTACCAAACTGCGGAGGTTGGAGCAGGAGGCAAATACTGCAGAGTTTAGTTCCACGTTAAGCTCGGGTTCACATACATGCAGTGCGGTACATAGCATGTGATTGGCACAGGAACCACACCGCATTCCTGTGCCAATCACATGTGATTTGTATGCGGTGCGATCGGAGCCGTACACTTTGTATGGCTCTATTCGCACCGCACCAAAAACGTGCAGGACCCTTTTTTTTGGGTCCGCACTAGAATTGGATTGCATAGATATTCACACCTATGCGATCCGATTCTGCACAGCGCACCGAGTTTTCTGGACCACTTTCGGGGTGTTAATACACACCCACAGCGGTTCGCATGAACTGGGCGTGATTCTGATGCGGTGCGGAATTTGCACTGAAAAGGCTACAAATTCCACACCGCATCAGTGTGAACCCGGACTGAGTGACCAAAGAGGAGAAGTTAATTGTTGATTTAACCCCCCTGGCGGTATTCCAGAGTGTAGCTCGGGGTAAAGTTTCAGCACCACAAGCGGTAACCCCCCCGAGCTACACTCGGGAATACACTGCGGCGTTGCTCCGGGATCTCTCAATCACTTACCTTGTCCTGCGCTCCCGCCTGTCCCCCCTGCAGTGTCCCCTGTAATGTCTCCGGCCGATGCCGGCATCTGTCTTCCAGGTTCCGTTCCCTGCGACGTCGGGATGTACGGGGGGGGGGGGGCGGAACAGTGGGAAATTCAAAAAAATGTGAAAAAGTGACATTCACAAAATCACATAGTATAACATTCCTGTTTCAAACCATGTCACATACATTGTGTCCCGAGTGCTTTGTCCGGCGCCCTGCCTGCATTTTTACTGTTCTTTCTGCCTGGAAACTGAGAAACGTCCATGGCGTCCAAAAAGCGTCCCTTTAGGTCAGACGCGGTTTTAGACCGGCTAGAGAACAGCGATAGTAAATCAGAACCACTTGCAGAATTGAGTGATAATGATTGGTGGGGGAAATTCCTCATCAGACACTGAAAACAATTCTGCGACTGAGCTCAGCGATGTGCGAACTTGGCGCTATATTTCACATTTCAGTGTTGTTGGTTTGATTATATTATTTAATTAAATTTATTATTATTATTTTTTATGATTATTAAATTATAATTTATGATTTCGGGTTTCAAATTGTAACATACCCGGGATGTTTACTAGACTCTTGTTCTGACAGATTTCAGTGAGTTATTCCTAAAAAGTCCAGCCTACAACAAAAATACATATTTCCATGAAAAAAAAAAATGTACCGCTTTGAGCAGAGAAATACTGACAATCAGACCGCTAGGGAGGTTAATACATTTCCCCCCCCCAAAGCGTAAAAAACACTGGAAGGGGACTTTACCTTATCCACAGATGTCTGCTTTGCTCACC